TACATTGTTCTCCAGTGCACCCGGAACATTCTCAAGGACAGACCATATGTTGGGTCACAGAACTAGCATCAACAAATTCAAGAAGACTGAAATTATATCAAGCATATTCTCTGACCACAATGCCTTGAAATTAGAAATAAATGGCAAAAAGGAAATAAAGAAACCCGCAACTACATGGAGATTAAACAACATACTACTAAAAACTGACTGGGTCAAAGATGAAATAAACGATGAAATCAAAAGATATATAGAGACAAATGAGAATGACAATATAATATATTAAAACTTCTAGGATGCAGCAAAAACAGTAATAAGAGGGAAGTTTATATATTATAGGCCTATCTCAAGTAACAAGAGAAATCCCAAGTAAACAACCTAACATTACACTTTAAAGTCCTAGAAAAAGAACAAAAGCAACCCAAAGTCAGCAGAAGAAAGGAAATCATAAAAATTAGAGCAGAACTGAATGAAATAGAGAACAAAAAGACTACAAAAAGTTAATAAATCAAAGAGCTTGTTCTTTGAAAAAATTAATAAAATTCACAAACCCCTGGCTAGGCTCACTAAGAAGATAAAAGAACCATATAAACGAAATCAGAAATGAGAGAGGGGAAGTCACCACAGACATCACAGATATGCAAAGGATCATACTAGAATATTATGAAAGACTATATGCCACCAAATTCAATAACCTAGAAGAAATGGTAAGTTTCTAGAAATATAAACTTCTTAGACTAAATCATGAAGAACTGAAAAACCTAAATAGACTGATCATCAGGGAGGAAATTAAAACCATCATCAAAAACCTCCCAAAAAATAAAAGTCCAGGACCAGATGGCTTTACCAGTGAATTCTACCAAACGTTCAAAAAGGTTTAAAATGTATCCTTCTCAAGCTCTTCCAAAAAACTGAAGAGGAGGCAATACTTCCTAACATATTTTATGAGCCCAATATAACCCCCAATACCAAAACCTGGCAAGGATAACACAAAACAAGAAAACTACAGACCAATACCTCTGATGAATACAGATGCAAAAATCCTAAACAAAATACTAGAAAATAGAATACAGCAGTACATCAAAAAAATAATACATCACGATTAAGTGGGGTTCATTTCAGGAGCAAAAGCATATGTTTACTTAAACACAGGCAAATCAATCAATGTAATATACCACATTAACAAAATANACCTCTGATGAATACAGATGCAAAAATCCTAAACAAAATACTAGAAAATACATCAAAAAATACATCAAAAAAATAATACATCACGATTAAGTGGGGTTCATTTCAGGAGCAAAAGCATATGTTTACTTAAACACAGGCAAATCAATCAATGTAATATACCACATTAACAAAATAAAAAATCCACTGCCTTCCTGTATACTAACAACAAAACTTCAGAAAAAGAAAAGAACTCCTTTTGCAATTGCAACCAAAAGAATAAAATACCTAAAAATAAGCTTAACAAAGAACATGAAAGACCTATATACTGAAAATTATAAAGCATTATTAAAAGAAATGGAAAAAGACACAACAAAATGGAAAAATATCCCGTGTTCATGGATTGGAAGTATCAACATAGTTAAAATGGCCATATTACCCAAAGCAATATACAGATTTAATGCAATCCCCATCAAAATACCAATGTCATTTTTTTTTTTAATATATCTTTATTGGTTTCAGAGAGAGGGAGAGGGAGAGAGAAAGACAGAAACATCAATGACGAGAGAGTCATTGGTTGAGCCCGCAACCCAGGCATGTGCTCTGACCGGGAATTGAACCCCAATCGCCTGGATCCTAGGTCGAAGCTTAACCGCTGAGCCATGCCTGGCTGGGCCCAATGTCATTTTTTAAAGAAATTTACACCTTTTTAACACTGTATGAACGCAGCAGAAGAGTGAGCTCTGTGGAGTGAGAAAAGTTACCCTGAACTAGCTCTTCCTCTAAAAGTTCAGGAAAACTAATTTCACATGAAAATGCACAACTGCAAAGTATCAAGGTCAAATCCTACACAAAATTAAAAGGAAAAAAAATAAGGATCAAAATAATATTACAGGCAATGAAAACATGCCAGAAAGACATGTTCATAGATGAGATTGATATGTAACCTTTTATTTCAAAATGAGCTAAAAGATGTTTAAAAAATGACACAGGCTGTGAAAGGACAATATAAATCAGAAATTAAGTGACAGGATTCAGGAGAAAAATTTTCTATTACTTTCTGAAATAAAGACTACACTAGAAAAAACACAAGAGTGAATAAACACAACAGATATCTTAAAAGAAACAACAGGTGAAAAAAAGAAAAATTTTCTAAATAAAAAAAAAATGAGAAAAGGGTTTGGAGGTCACAAACAGTGAAAATAGGCAATAAAGCTACAAATACAACTAATAGGACTCTCAGAATAAAAAAAGATCAAAACAGTTATTGAAAATTATAATACAGTCAAAAGATTCCAAGCAGAGGGAAGGCAGAGGGTGGGGGAGTGG